TATCCCTGATGAACATTGATATGAAAATCCTCAATAAAATACTAGCAAACTGAATCCAGCAGCACATCAAAAAGCTTATCCACCACGATCAAGTTAGCTTCATCCCTGGGATGCAAGGCTGGTTTAACATATGCAAATCAATACACATAATCCACCACATAAACAGAACCAATGACAAAAACCACATGATTATCTCAATAGATGCAGAAAAGGCCTTCAATAAAATTCACCACCCCTTCATGCTAAAAACTCTTAATAAACTAGGTATTGATGGAACATATCTCAAAATAGTAAGAGCTATTTATGACAAACCCACAAGCAATATCATACTGGATGGGAAAAAGCTGGAAACATTCCCTTTGAAAACTGGCACAAGACAAGGATACCCTCTCTCACCACTCCTACTCAACATAGTATTGGAAGTTCTGGCCAGGGAAATCAGGCAAGAGAAAGAAATAAAGCGTATTCAAATAGGAAGAGAGGAAGTCAAATTGTTTCTGTTTGCATATGACATGATTGTATATTTAGAAAACCCTGTCATCTCAACCCAAAATCTCCTTAAGCTGAAAAGCAACTTCAGCAAAGTCTCAGGATACAAAATCAGTGTGCAAAATCACAAGCATTCCTATACACCAATAACAGAGAGCCAGATCATGAATGAACTCCCATTCACAATTGCTACTAAGAAAATAAAATACCTAGGAATAAGACTTACAAGGGATATGAAGGACCTCTTCAAGGAGAACTACAAACCACTGCTCAAGGAAATAAGGACACAAACAAATGGAAGAACATTCCATGCTCATGGATAGGAGAATCAATATCTTGAAAATGGCTATACTGCCCAAAGTAATTTAGAGATTCAGTGCTATCCCCATCAAGCTACCATTGACTTTCTTCACATAATTAGAAAAAACTACTTTAAATTTCATATGGAAACAAAAAAGAGCCTGTATAGCCAAGACAGTCCTGGGCAAGAAGAACAAAGCTGAAGGCATCACACTACCTGACTTCAAACTATACTACAAGGCTACAGGAACCAAAACAGCATGGTACTGGTACCAAAACAAATACATAAACAAATGGAACAGAACAGAGGCCTCAGAAATTATACCACACATCTACCACCATCTGATCTTTGGCAAACCTGACAAAAAACAAACAATGGGGAAAGGATTCTCTACTTCATAAATCATGTTGGGAAAACTGGATAGCCATATGCAGAAAACTGAAACGGGACCCCTTCCTTACACCTTATACAAAAATTAACTCAAGATGGATTAAAGACTTAAAATTGTAAGACCTAAAACCTTAAAAATGCTAGAAGAAAACCTAGGCAATACCATTCAGGACACAAGCATGGGCAAAGACTTCATGACTAAAACACCAAAAGCAATGGCAACAAAAGCCAAAATTGACAAATGGGATCAATTAAACTAAAGAGCTTCTGCACAGCAAAAGAAACTATCATCAGAGTGAACAGGCAACCTATAGAACGGGAGAAAATTTTTGCAATCTATCCATCTGACAAAGGGCTAACATACAGAATCCACAAAGAACTTAAACAAATTTACAAGAAAAAAACCAACAACCCCATCAAAAAGTGGGCAAAGGATATGAACAGACACTTCTCAAAAGAAGACATTTATGTGGCCAACAAACATGAAAAAAGGCTCATTATCACTGGTCATTAGAGAAATGCAAATCAAAACCACAATGAGATACCATCTCACACCAGTTAGAATGACAATCATTAAAAAGTCAGGAAACAACAGATGCTGGAGAAGATGTGGAGAAATAGGAATGCTTTTACACTATTGGTGGGAGTGTAAATTAGTTCAACCATTGTGGAAGACAGTGTGGGGATTCCTCAAGAATCTAGAACTAGAAATACCATTTGACCCAGCAATCCCATTACTGGGTATATACTCAAAGGATTATAAATCATGCTACTATAAAGACACATGCACACATATGTTTATTGTGGCACTGTTCATAATTTTACTGTTATTATGAACTTAGATTTTTAAAAAACATTTCTTAGTTTTGGTGAGAAGAATTTGAGTTTAGCACATTTAAAGCATTAGAAGTCCAATTTCCTTTTTCTGGGAATTTTAAGAATATTCAAATTACATAAGAACTTATTTATCTCTATAAGTCAATAAGAACAGAGCTCCTTGAATTTATGAGACATTATACTGTAATTAATAATATCCTCTGTAGATAGGATATTATACCTCACATAATGAGAGGGATAGGCCTTTCTGAATTTTGGACCCATAGAGACAGAGCTTACAGCTTCATGTGTACAAGTTTGGCACAAGTCAAGAGTAAACACAGAAACACAAAATCTCTCTGGCCCAAAATCAAAGAGGTGTTCTCCTTCCCAGTGGGCATAACATATTTAATTGATTTGAGCTAAAAGAAAATAGACAATTTTTTAAAAAGTATAACCAGATTCTCTGTCGTCTCTCACCCAATAGGGATAGATCTATATCACCTTCTACAAAGATCATGAGATGGTCAAACTATAAAAACTAAAACCCTTATTGTTTTTACAGTTAATAAGGAACTGATAAATGAGGGAACCAATAGATGTAAAAACTGGCTTAAAGGAGAATTCAAACCACACACATATGTACAGTTAATCAGACATGTTGAAATGAATTTACAAATAGATATGAAACTAGTCGGTATCCACAGGGCAATCTGTTGTATTATACTGGACAAAATTCATTTGCATTAGCATAAGTTTTCTACAATTTACAGAGTTGTAAAATAGCTCGAAGACAGTGAAAATCGCAGGTACTTATAGAATCAGATAACCCAGAAAGGTGCATTGGACAGGACACCTGGTCATCTTTTTCTGTTGTCTGCTTCAGTCTTTCTTTAGAGAACAATCCAGGAAGCAATCCTTGACTTCTTGGCCAACTTAGACACAAGGTCAGCCAGGCCCTAATCTTTTAACATTTCAGCTGGAACTTACGAGATTCTCAGAGCAAGCATGGGGGCAGGCAGTTTGTCTTCACCTATCCCTGCATCCCTAGCTAGATGAGGCCTTTTCTTGCTATCTCACTTTCCTCCATGCATCTTGTGACCCATCCAGAGGATCACTTCAGAGCCAAACATTGCACAGTGTGGAGGTGAAACTCTGTGACGGGAGAAGGTTTAACTTGGTAAAGAATTACCATTGGAATAATTATCCAGAGTGACTTGGTAAGGTCTGGTTTCACCAGGGCCCTCCCTGAGGGTCATTCCCAACCAATACCTGCCCATACAGTCACAGGCTCAGACCTGGGACCGTCCCTGCTGCCTAGGCTGAGACCCAGCTCTGTCCCCTGTCTACAATAGTAGCAGCCCCAGCCTTCAACAGGTGGAATTATAATTTGTCAAGTGATAAAACAAAGACTGAAATCAATTTAAGAGAAGCAGTTTAAGAGTACAAACATATAATATATGAAACGCTAGTTACATGAAAGTAAAATGATTAAGGTTGAGTTTCACTTATAATTTGAAAACCAACATTTATTGTGCTTCTACATTGGACGTGTTGTCTCAATTGTATTTTGGTCTCTCAGCAATTTTGCTGGAGCTTGCTATGTGTTTTACTAAACTCAGTTTTCAAAAGGAGTTGCCAGGATTTTATGAATTGTTTTATTAATCCCAGAAATTTTTAAGGCTTTCTTAAGATCAAATGGTTAAGATAGACTGGCTCTTGGCACCCTTATTAGATAAGACTTTGCCTTTTCATCTGTAAATTTAGTAGAAGGTTGTAGTTCAAAGAACAAAGTTCAGAATGTCTCTGCGATATTAATTAGAACAAAGTCCTCTTTACTTTGACTTTTGGCACCATACCACGTGCTTTTAAACATCAAGAATTAGATTGATCTTTAGAAACACCTTAAAGCATGGAAATAGCAGCCTTGAAGCTTATAATAAAAGAACAGTTTAAAATGCATGAAACAACTCTTCTGTTTAGCTATGCATTTTGTTAACACTTTTTATTTTAGTAACCTTACTTCTGATAAAGATTCTTCATTAGTGTTCTTGGCAGTAACAATTGATACATCTTTCTTGACCTCACCATGCTTAGAATGAAACTTAAAAAGAGTATAAATTTTATTTAACCCTCACATTTTGCCAGATCACTGTGCTTACAATAAGCACACATGGCAGGATATGGTGATGAAACTATGGGAACATACTTACCTTCTTTCTGAGGTCTACTTTTCTTTACCTGAGTTTGTCTTACTGATTTGTGTCACATATCCAAGAGTAGAAACTACCTTTCAGAACTAACTCAGGTTAGCTCATTGCTGTTCAAAGAAGCTGAAGGCTAATGAAAGGCAACGTATACTCTAAAGATTTTTCATTTCCTTCTTATACAATGAAGTTATACCAAATTATGCATTTGCTTCCAAATTTTGGTTATCCTTTTGATTACTGTCTTTATCATCCATTATTTTCTTTGGAAGGCAGCTGGCAAATACTCCATTATGTCATCAGTAAGAGTTCGTTTTCTACATAGGAATACCATGCAGAGTAACAACTGTGACTTTTGCCCAGCTCTAATACTTAACTTCTTTTGTCAGGAAGTGAACTGATGCTGGCTTCTCTTTGTCTTATTCCAAGTTGGGGCATGAGATTTTCCCTGCATTAGAAGGTTATTGAGACCTGAAGCCTGGGAAGGTAAGATGCCAGCATGAATACTGTCCGTTGAGAACTGTGGTTTAATTGAGTGTCTGGTGATTTAAGAGTGTAAGTCTTTCCAGCTGTTCCTGGTTTATGGTCCTGAACCCTTAAAGTTTTACCAAAACATGAACAGTGAAACACTTCTACAGTGGAAAGGCCCATTAACATATTATTTATAATATTTAAACATAATTTTATATTTATTGAAATTGTTACTTAAAAGAAAGGAAAAATTGACACGTAACAATTTCTATGTATAGATACTTTGTATACACAAGTCTATATGTATCATAAAATGATAAACTAAGAAAAACATATATGTACTTTTTGTTTGTAGTTTTACTTTTTCTTCTGATTTTTTAATATAATAGACTTTTTATTTACTTATTTTTGTTTGTTTTGAGACAGGGATCTTGCTATGTTGCCCAGGCTGGTCTCAAACTCCTGGCCTCAAGCCAACTACCCACCTCAGCCTCCCATGTAACTGAGATGTTACACACTCAGCTGCACGCCAGTGTACCCAGCACTAGACTTTTTTTTTCTGAGATGGAGTCTTGCTCTGTTGCCAAGGCTGGAGTGCAGTGGCACAATCTTGGCTCACTGCAACTTCCGCCTCCCGGGTTCAAATGATTCTCCTGCCTCAGCCTCCTGAGTAGCTGGAATTACAGGCACCCACCACCATGTCCAGCTAATTTTTGTATTTTTAGTAGAGACGGGGTTTCACCATGTTGGCCAGGATGGTCTCGAACTCCTGACCTCACGTGATCTGCCCACCTCAGCCTCCCAAAGTGCTGGGATTACAGGTGTGAGCCACTGCCCCCAGCCTTAGACTTTATTTTTTAGGTCAGTTTTAGATTTCCTCCCTGATCATTTTTTGAGGCCAGCAAAGTAAGGAGAGTAAAGACTTGAATCATATATTTTGTTAATATGGAGAAAAAAGACAACATTAAGCAAATCAACGACTTATAAAGTTTTGTCTCAGTACTTTCATGACTCAACCAGCATTCTATGGGTGTTTTCCCCAAAAAGTCTCCATTGGAGAAGACTAGCGAATGCACACACTCAGTAATGAGGGTCAGGCGTTTACACTACTGTTGCTTACTCTCACCATTTGTTCAACATGCTTCTTCATTCACTGTGCCTTAGCTAGTTTTAGTAAATAAAATGTTTCCAATTTGCAGTGACTGACTTAAGCTAAGAAATTATAGTCCTTCACAATGAAATTATAAACAATATCCTTCCTAGTGACAAATATGGATTATTCTCTATGAAAACTTATTTATACCCAACATGTAGTACATTTAGATACAATATGTAGTTTGTTAGATACAATATGTAGTTTGTTAGATACAATATGTAGTTCATTTCAGCATATAAGTTATCTGGGTAACAGTCAATCTTAAAAGAATCAGATTTTGCGGCCAGGCATGATGGCTCACACCTCTAATCCCAGCACTTTGGGAGGCCGAGGCAGGCGAATCACTTGAGGTCAGGAGTTTGAGGCCAGCCTGGAAACATGGTGAAATCCTGTCTGTACTAAAAATACAAAAATTAGTTGGGTGTGGTGGTGCACACCTGTGGTCCCAGCTACTCAGGAAGCTGAAGCAGGAGAATCTCTTGAACTCAGAAGGCAGAGGTTGCTGTGAGCTGAGATCACACCATTTCACTCCAGCCTGAGCAACAAAAGCGAGACTCCATCTCAACAAAAAAAAAAAACTAAGATTTTGTTTCATAACTGGACTAAATTTACTAATACATTTGACGTACTAATAATTATCAGTTTTTAATGGTGCTAATGTCATATAAATGTGATGTTAAACAACAAAAATGTTGTGAGATTGAATGTTAGCTAAATATCTCTACATATTAAGAATCTAATAAAGGCTTTAATAAAGTTACATTTATAGCACTAGCTAATAAAAGATACAAAGGTCAGAAGCTAGTCGTCTTCTCTCACTGTTTCTTGGCCTATAAAAATCTGGTAGGGGTTTCATAGGATTTTGGCTACATTTGTGTGTTGTTATATGGCTGTGGATTTTTTTTTTTTTGAGACGGAATCTCGCTTTGTCTCCAGGCTGGAGTGCAGTGGCGTGATCTCAGCTCACTGCAACTTCCACCTCGCGGATTCAAGCAATTCCCTGCCTCAGCCTCCTGAGTAGCTGGGATTACAGGCGCCTGCCACCACACCTGGCAAATTTTTGTATTTTTAGTAGAGATGGAGTTTCACCATCTTGGCCAGGCTGGTCTTGAACTCCTGACCTTGTGATCTGCCCACCTTGGCCTCCCATGTTGCTGGAATTACTGGCGTGAGCCACCGCGCCCGGCTGACTTATTAAAGGGATCCAAGCCCATGTTGTTTTATTGAACACGTCTAATAGTTTTATTTTTTATTTATTTTTTTCCATTTTTCATAAGTTGCAAATTGAACTTTGATTGACACAGAGTGTCAAGTGGAAGCCAAATTTGACGTATGCCAATATTAGACTTTCTCTTTCCAGGATAGACCAGCCCAAGTGAAGTGGCACTGACATTGCATCTCCCTTTGGTTAGCGAAGTCTTTTATAATATTGTAAACATGGGTTTTTTTTTCCTGAGAAATGATAGCACATTTATTGATCACCATGCTCTTAAGCTTTTCTAGTTATAATTTTTCTTAGGTATTTTATTCCTGGTAAACACACTTGTATAGTGTGTTTCAGTGTTCAAAGCACTTTCAGACATTCTTGCTTGATTCTGACACTAGCCTTAGGAAATAGTTAAAGCACGTGATGTTATTTTGATTTTACAGAGTCTTAAGTGACTTGCCCAAGATCATATAGCCAACAAGCATGGAAATAGGGTGAAGACACCAGTTTTTTCCATTTCACAGTCCAATAATCTTTCTTGGAGCTAAATGGTGCTGTTTGTTTACGTGACTAAAAACTGAGTTATTTTACTCATGTGAAAGGCCTCCTATGTTGTAACAGCTTCCTTTAGTGCCATAGAATCGAATGAATGTATTTTATGTCAATGTACTCAACGTAGCTTCTGTGTTTGGGAGCAGATAATTGGCGGTCTTCAGCCAGAAAACAAATTTGTGAAACTTGGATTCAGAATTCTGGAATTTCTCACCTACTGGAGTATTTGTACCTATTCCAGCATCCATCTTCAATTCCAGGAAAACATGGGTGATCCCTTATTGCTTAGTATTCACCTCATTAGATGGCACAACTGTTTGCTACTTGGCAGTCTGTGCAGAAGTAAGGTCCAGAAGTAATTTAGCAAGAGAGTTACTTACATAAAGACTGAGAGCTACGTAGTTCTGGGTAAATGCTGGTGCAACATGACCTCTTTGTGTTTTGTGTAAATGCTATGCTAGTACTACCAGTTGTCTATATCCACTTAACCCACATTTACTTTTGAAGGAGTCGATTAATTCTGTTTGCCTCAAATTTGATAATTGTGTCATCACCGAAGTCATAACATTTTCATAAATGAGCTAGAGCTTTAAAAGTAGAATCCTTGTACACAGTCATTGGTAGGCAGTGTTTACTTTTTTGTTTGGTAAATATCTGAAATTTTAAAATTCATTTTTAGATTAGCCAATCCAGTTCCTGGATAGTAATGTAATATTTGAATTTGTCTTTGCCTTTCCCTAGGTTCTGGTTTGACCTAACAGTGATAAGATTGTTTATCCTTTGATTTGCTTAAAATTACCATCAGGTTTCTACTTTCCCACAAGAGCACGTGATTGCTTTATCCCAGCTGTAAGACAATAGAACAACCTAGTGTTGCTTGGTTTACTTTGTATGCCTTTTTCTATTTGCATAAACCCTGATCTGATTACAAACTTGTATTTACACCACTCCCTTGACTCCTTCCAACTCAAAGTATTTATTGTCCAGTTAAAACATTTATGGTTAGTCATATAAGCTGGCTTATCTTTTCTTCTTTGAATTACTTTTTTTTTTTTTTGAGATAGAGTCTCGCCCTGTCGCCCAGGCAGGAGTGCAGTGGCGCAATCTCGGCTCACTGCAAGCTCCGCCTCCCAGGTTCACGCCATTCTCCTGGCCTCAGCCTGCAAGTAGCTGGGACTACAGGTACCTGCCACCATGTCTGGCTAATTTTTTTGTATTTTTAGTAAAGACGGGGTTTCACCGTGTTAGCTGGGATGGTCTTGATCTCCTGACCTCATGATCCGCCCGCCTTGGCCTCCCAAAGTGCTGGGATTACAGGCGTGAGGCACTGCGCCCGGCCTCTTTTTTCTTTCTTTCTTTTATTTTTATTTGAAATAGTATCTCACTCTGTTGTTCCAGCTGGACTGCTGTGGTGCAATCATGGCTCACTACAGCCTTCACCTCAAGTGATTCTCCCACCTCAGCCTCTTGAGTAGCTGGGACTACAGGCGTGCGCCACCAGCCAGCTAATTTTTGTTATTTTTTGTAGAGATGGGGTCTCTACCATGTTGCCCAGGCTGGTCTCAAACTCCTGGGCTCAAGCCATCCTCCTGCCTCAGCCTCCCAAAGTGCTGGGATTAGAGGCTTAAGCCACTGTATCCGGCCTGAATTTCAATCTTACTTGAACAGCCTGAAGTAATGAGTAATGAGTTTATAGCTTTTAAAAGAGATCTTCTTTATCAAAAATAATTATACTATCTCATTTCAGGATTACTTATCTATGGTTCTGGTTATTTTTTCGAGAATGGAAACTGAACCCCATCTTTAACATTATTTAAAAACTTGAGAGTTATTTTAAAAGCGTGACAGGAATTGCTCTCATGGCTAATTTTTTTCCTTAAAAAACCTTTAGCAGTGACAGATAATTGTTGCCTACTTAATTCTATTTTAAAAAATAGAGGAATTATAGAAGGGTTTTATTTTATTTTTGTTATTTTCAAGATACTTTTGAAAACCGTTTAGCACCCAGTTTCTCTTACTGTGTGGAATGCTGCCCCTTTCCTTCTGTGTTTATTTTGTGATGGCACATGGATAGATTGTGATGGTGGTATCTATGTGGACTTTCTACTGGTGCGTGTGTGTGTGTGTGTGCGTGTGTGTGTGTGTGTGTGTGTTCCACTTCCCTTTTGGGAAGTAGGAATTGGAGCTGGAAGAGAAAGAAACAAATTATTTTCATCTAATCTTTTTTCTCCTCAGCTTAACTGACTTAAACTATGGAAAAATTGGTAATTTATATTTAAAATTTATAAATTGTAATTTCCACTATATATATATATTTTTTGAGACAGGGTCTTGCTCTGTCACCTAGGCTGGACTGCAGTGGCATGATCATAGCTCACTGCAACCTCAAACTCCTAGGCTTAAGCAATCTTCCTACCTCAGCCTGCAGAGTAGCTGGGACTACGGGTACCAACCATGCTTGGCTAATTTTTTTTTTTTTTTTGAGATGGAGTCTTGCTCTGTCACCAGGCTGGATGTGCAGTGGCACAATCTCGGTTCACTGCAACCTCTGCCTCCCAGGTTCAAACAATTCTCCTGCCTCAGCCTCCCGAGTAGCTGTGACTACAGGCGTGCACCACCATACCCAGATAATCTTTGTATTTTTAGTAAAGATGGGGTTTCACCATGTGCCAGGATGGTTTCAATCTTGACCTCGTGATCTGCTCACCTTGGCCTCCCAAAGTGCTGGGATTACAAGTGTGAGCCACCATGCCCGGCCTAATTTTTTAACTTTTTGTAAAGACAGGATCTCACTGTATTGCCCAGATGGATCTTGAACTCCTGGCCCCAAGCGATCCTCTTTCCTCAGCTTCCCAAAGTGCTGGGAGTAGAGGTGTGAGTCACTGTGCCTGGCCCTCCAAAATATTTTTACTTTCATTTAAGTTTGCCACTGATATGCTATCCTTACTTTCCCTATGTCCCCTTAATCTTATCTTTATGGTAGTTTAAGAGAATCTAGACTGCTGCTATGCTTAACTGATACCTCCCCTGGAAGCTATCACCAATCACATCACTGCCTCACATTGAGTAGGACTTGAAGTTCATGAAACATCTTTAATATGCTCATCTAACTCAAATTGATCCTTTGTGCTATATCTTGATATTCTTTTTTCTCTTATTTATTTGTATACTGCTTTATTAGACTATCACATTAGTTGTCAAAGCTAGTAGTTAATTCACATGTTGATTTTCTAGGCCTGTATCCTTATTAGTCTAAGGTGGAAGAAACAGAGATAAAATTTCTAAATACCTACCTAAACTGGAAAGGAATAAGGAAGAGAATTAATTTAGTAGAATTAACCTTTCTATTCTTGACAAAATCTGGTTAAAACAAACTGGTTTTATACACACATACACTTTTTTACACAGAATTATTGCTGAGTATAGTGTTGTCCAACTTGACTTCATAACTTTTTGGGTTGCTTTATAAATATTCGTTAATATTAAAGTGTTTTTTATTTTAAATGCTACTATGTTGAAATTGATCTGGTGCCAAACAGTGTCATTCTTGTTAATTTATATCAATCTCTGTTTTATAATCCTTTGAACATATTAACAAGGAAAAAGGAATGATTGGTAATACCAAATATTATGGTTCTTTGTTACATAGTTTTAGAGAGCTACAGGTAATTGGCTATAAAATATTTAGTTGGCAGTGGGGAATATTTTTTAAATTCTATAAAAAAAAGTAATAAGGAGTAGAACTACCAGATATTCAAATATATTATAAAGTAATAGTATTGAAACAGTGTGGCAAAGGCCTCAGATTAGATGGTGTAGGTCATTGAAGAATAGAAATAAATGCTGTTATTTATATAAATCTGACATATGTTAAAGGAGGCACTGTTAAACAGTGGGTCATGGATTGATTATTTAATAAATGGGGTTGGAATAATCAGTTAGCAGTTTTAAGGAAAAATGCATTTAGATCATTATACCAGATACAACAAAAAGTAAATTTTTGATAAAGTATGGACATTTATATAATTGAAAATCTAGAAGATAAAAACACTGCATACTCTGTAATTCTCTGGAGTTCCTAAGCAATTGGAAAACTGGAAAAAGAAGATAGTAAAAATTTGTTTTATTATAACAAATTTGCATTTGTTTTGTTGTAACTGTAGATCTGTGAGCATTATAGGAAAACCTGTCTATTCCACGTTCACAATCTGAAAATTAGTCTCCTTTTTTCTTCACGTCATCTGGAAACTGTTTTTCTTCCAAACTAGCTAATGAAACACAGAATGCAATTCTTTATCTAAAATTGTATTCTGTAGGTGTATTGAAAACTATACAGGAGCTCGCTGTGAAGAGGTTTTTCTCCCAAGCTCCAGCATCCAAACTAAAAATAACCTGTTTGAAGCTTTCATGGCGTTGGCAGTCCTAATAACACTTATCATTGGAGCCTTCTACTTCCTTTGCAGGTAAGCAAAATAGAAACATGCTTTTGAGAAAACTAATGCATAAAGTAGTTATTCCACTAAATAATTAATATGCCTTTAGTTCTCGATATTTTTCCAGATACTGCATTTAGTTATCTCTTTAATACAGTTTTTGTTATTAATGTCATTTTTGAAAGGATCTTAATAAGCAGTCTCAATTTATTCTTTGTTACTGTTGTCAATATTTACCTTGACTTATCTAAACTATTAAGGTAGACCCATACTCACTATAGCAAATATGCCAGAAGTACCTGAATATTTGGGTTAGGTGTATTTAAAGTAAATTTTGTATGTGAAAGAAAAGGAACAACTTATGCAATACTGTACATGTAAGCTTAAGACATATGGTTAATATGCAGGGTCAGCTACTTAGTGCCCACTATGTGCTAGGCATAAAGAATACAATAGTGAACAAAATAGACATGTTTCCTAACTTCAGAGCTATTTAAATCAATTTGGAGAGACAGACAAAAAGGCAATTAATTTGGGGAAGCTGGTAATTCACAAGAGAGACAAAAGAAAAAACTACTTGCATGAAGCAATTATATGCACTGAAGATTACTTTCATTCATTTGTTTTGATTTTCAATTGTTTTTGAAATTTTGTAAAAGTAAGTAAACATAGAATTTAGTAAGTCCAGGAGTTATCTGGCATAACTGTCATCATTAATTTTATTAAACTCATACTGAATTATATCATAGATACTTGTGAAAATGGAGCTGAAGGTAATCATAAAAGAGAGACAAGTGAGCTTGAGAAGTTTGTATGCTAAGAAAGGTAACATGTAGGTAAAATAGTATCTTGTTAGATCCTGATTTCTTAACTACTTTACATCAAGGAATAATTAAAAATTAGAGGAAATCAGCTTTTTAAAAATATGTGGTATTAAATAGTTTATTCCAAAACATATCATTTAAGCAATCTGGTAGATTTTATTTCTCCTAATTTTAGCATCTGACTACTTCAGATACAAAAGTTTAAATATAAGCCCATTGTATCAGATTGCATTTCTGAGGGATGGCCATAGGATATCTCTCATTCCCACATACTCTTCTGTAGTGTGACCTTGCCACTCATCCTTCAAGAGGTAGAGTCTATTGCTATAGATTCCTTGAATCTAGGCAGGCACTATGACTGCCTTGATCATAGAATACTTGGGATGCTGCCTCATAGAATCAGCCGCCATGTTGTAAGAAGCCTAAACAGTAGGAAGAACCAGCCCCAGCTGAACTTCCAGCCAACAGTCAGCCTCAACTGCCCACCATTTTAATGAGCCATCCCAGACATTCAGCTCATTCGAACCTTTATTTGACTCCTGACTTAGCTGCCAGTTTACTGCAACTACACAGAGAGCCCAAGCAAAAAATGCCCAGCTGTCAACCCACAGAATCATGAGACAAAGTTTTTTTCTCCCCCAAGTTTGGGGTGGTATGTTATGCATAAGTAGATAACCAGAATACCCGTCTTTGGAATTAGGTTTATGCTTGACTTTAAATGTATCTATGTTTGGAAAGCTGAATAATGATCTATTCTATCCCTCTAAACATTTTGTCAGTCAAATATGGTAAGGGGAAGACCAATACCTACTTCCCTCATTAATCACTCCGGTGCCAGTTTGGAGATACAGTTTCCATCTGTTATTGATTGGATAATGAATTCTGTTTAATTCATTATCATTAATATGTCAGGATAGTCTAGGTTTGGCTGCAGTAACTAGCAACCCTAATAGTTTAGTGGCTTAATAAACAGAAGATTATTTCTCACTTATTATAGGTAATTAGTATGGATTGGCAAGCAGGGCTTTGCTAATGATAGTCACTTAAGGACTCAAACTGTTGGAGCAAACACCATCTTGAGTGCTGCTGGTTGTCATAACAGAGGGAAAAGAAAGCTCTGGAAGTTCTCACACTTAAATTGAAATGATCTGTCCCAGAAGTGACACACATCACTACTGACATAACTCACTAGCCAGAAGGAGTTTCATGGTCCTCCTCAATTATAAGAGGTAGCTGGACATGGTAGCTCATGCCTGTATTCCCAAATGAAAGGATTGCTTGAGCCCAGGAGTTTGAGACCAGCCTGGGCAAGATTGCAAGACCCTGTCTCTACAAAATGAAAAATAAAAAATATTAGCAGGGCATGGTGGTACACATCTGTATTCCCAGCTACTCAGGAAATGGAAGCAGGAGGATCCCCCAAGCCCAGGAGTTTGAGATGCAGTGAGCTGTGATTATGCCATTGCACTCCAACCTGGAAAAGAGAACAAGACCCCCGTCTCTTATTTTATATGGATAGATTAAATAGATAATATTTATTTGTATGTTTATATATTTATATTATTTACATATATGTAAAATAAGAGACGTATAATATATCCAAGTGTCAGGAAATGCAATTCAACCATATGACCATAAAGTTCAGAGACAGAAATACATATCTAACATAGTGACCAAAAGATTTATAAGAATATCTACTATTCCACTGGGAATTGTGAAGAGTGATTTGTGTGATATTAAATCCATAGGATTTGGGCCAGGTGCCGTGGCTCATGCTTGTAATCCTGCCCAGGTGGGAGGACTACTTGAGACCAGGAGTTTAACACCAGCCTGGACAACATAGTGAGACCCCGTGTGTACAAAACAAATTTTTAATTATCCAGGTGTGGTAACACATGCATGTAGTCCTAGCTGCTTGGGAGGCTGAGATGGAAAGATCACTTGAGCCCAGGAATGAGAGGCTGCAGTAAGCCATGACTGCACTACTGCACTCCTGCCTGGGTGTGAGAGCAAGATCCTGTCTCTTAACAAGATAAATAAATAAACAAATTAATGGAACTTTAATATTGTTGTAGTTGCCCCAAAATGAAATTCCTTTGCCAGCCCATTGAGTTTGTGAAGGGCATAGTATATTGTACCCCACAGGTGTTCAATGCCCCAGAGCAGCAAAGTTTCAGAAAGGAGTCCTTCTAAGCCATAGCTGCTCTGCAGACTTGAGCCAGAACTTAGAAATATTTCTAGTCTGAAGTATCCTGTCGCAGGCTAAATAATACCTTTTGAGTGAAAGTATAGGTATAATAGAAGCAAAAGAGTATATATATAAGAACAAGAGGTGGTGTTGAATACAAGAGAAAAGAAACCTCCAATCACAAACATTATATGGGTCTCCATCCTGAATTCACACTATCTGAATGTCTGGGGGTAAAAAGGTAAGAATATAAAATAGTCTAGGCTGGTAATGTCATCAGATAGTTGGCAGAAACAAATACAAATCAATTCTTGAAGAGCCTACTTTTATCTTTTACCTTAAAAAGCGTCTCACAGTATGAAAAGATTACCAAAAGTAGAATAAAAGAGGCACAATTTATTAAAACTAGCAGAAACAATAGGTAGTAGGGTAAGATATTCAGAAATCTGTATTTATTGGAAGAATCAGACACATGCTATAAAATAAGTATGTTTAATATGTATCAAAAAATAAGTGAGAGGTGGCCGAGCACGGTGGCTCACGTCTGTAATCCCAGCACTTTAGGAAGCCGAGGTGGGTGGATCGCGAGGTCAGGAAATTGAGACCATCCTGGCTAACACGGTGAAACACCGTCTCTACTAAAACAAAAAATTAGCCAAGTGTGGTGGCGGGCGCCTGTAGTCCCAGCTGCTCGGGAGGCTGAGGCAGGAGAATGGCATGAACCCAGGAGGCGGAGCTTGCAGTGCGCTGCACTCCAGTCTGGGCGAGAGAGCAAGACTCCATCTCAAAAAAAATAAAAAAGGAAAATAAAATAAAATAAGTGAGGGCTTAGAAATAAGCAAATTTGGCAAAGATCAAAACAGATCTCCAATGAATGAAATATAATTTTTAAAAATTCAGTACATATCTTAGTTCAATAAATTTTTTAAATTTAGTATATGTCTTTAAACAGCAGTTTAAACACAATAAAATTATTAATGAATTGGAAAATAGATAGGAAAAAATTACCCAGAGGGTAATCCTAAGAGAAAAAGAAATGGAAAATATTGAAGAGAAGTCAAGAAGCGTGGTGACCAGAGTGTATGCCTACCTTATGTTTAATTGGAATTCCAGAAGAAAAGAGAGACTGGGGCAGAGGCAGTGTTTGAAAAAGTAATGGCAGAGACCTTTTCAGAACTGATGAAAGTTACCCACAGATGTTAGAAGCCCAACAAATCTAAAACAGGATAAATAAAAATAAATTTACATATGGGTGCAACATAGTGGAATTGTAGAACACCAGTTCTAAAGGTGACATCACAAAAGCAGAAAAGAATGGCAGATTATCGTCAAAGATGCAACAATTAAACCAACAGCTGACTTCTCAGTTGGAAAGAAGCAAAACTAGAAGACAGAGCAGTGATATTTTCAATATGCTGAGAGAAAGCAGTTAACCCCAAATTTCTGTGGCAGTGAAAACATCTCTCAGGGAATGAGGGTAAGATGAAGATAACTTTTAATCAAACTTTGAGAGAGTTATCCCTCAGTAAACCTTCTGCCTGAAGGATATATGTCAGGGAAAAGGAAGTTGATCCTATATGGCATGTGTGAAATGCAAGAAAGAACAGAGAAAGCTATTAATATGTGAATATCAAAACAAATATTGTATAAATTATAACAATAATATTATCCTATGTATTTTTTTTAAAAGGAATTAAAACACATGATAGCAAATAAGTTGAAAGGATTGTAATTGAAGTGTACTAAGGTCTTTGTATGGGGGGGAGGATAAATATATGTTAATTTTGATCTTGATATTTTAAGATGAATATTAAAATGTCTAGGGTAACACATAATAGAAAATCAAAGTGTATAATTTCCAAATTAGCAGAAGGACAAAAATGGAATTAAAAATAACCAGTTAGTTAAAAATAAATTAAAAAAAAGAAAGCTACAAAACAGGATAAATAGAAAGCGTTACATAAGATCTAGGCTGTTCTGTAGTGACCATGTGAACTTGGAAATGCGCTTTCAAGAATGAAATTGTTTTCTGTAATAGTTTTTGGTCCATTAGTGGTTGAAATTGCTTTAAACTGAGGGCCTTTTGAACTTTAGTAACTAATTAGTGCCATCATTGAATGAGGTCCAAAATGATACCCCACTAATGCTAAAATCTGGGCTAGAATCAATAGTGTCTCAGGAATAGGAGCAAGTTTGCTTTTAGAAAATACACATCATTTTGCAATGGTAAAAGCAGTTTTGAATTCATTTTCATTAATGTAAGCTAAAACTGCATATAGACATATTGAAAAAAATAAAATAACTGTACATTCCAAAATCTATCATGATTACATAAATTACAACCTATATTAGTTGATCAAATGACTGAAAAACCTGATGTACTGTTACCTCAAAAATGTCCAAAATTACTTTTTAAAATGCCATTGCTAGAATAGGTGACTAAAGCTACTCCATGTCACATAAGGGTCCCAACTGATAATGAAAGCTAACCTCTTTATAAAGGGCACAAAAATTGCACTAAGATACAGCAGCTTTGCTGTTGTCTTAAAGGAAAAAGACCAGGAGGCATCATCAGCATCTGAATGATGACCTACATGCACTAATGGATGTGTTAAATAGTGGGAACAGTTTTAAAGCACCACTGACAATTTCAGGTAGTTGTGGAAAGAAAATGAACCATCAAATAGTCAAGTTTATACTTTCATTTGAATACCATGATGTGTTGTAAAAAGGGGGAAGAAGGGAAATTAAAAAAAACAACCTTCTTTCTAGGTTTTCTGACATGCTTTTCCTATTACTCATTTTCCATTTTTATGTTTCTCTCCTCTCTAGTGTCAGGAAGGTCCACTTTCAGAGAGCCAGTTCAGTCCAGTATGATATCAACCTGGTAGAGACGAGCAGTACCAGTGCCCACCACAGTGAGTAAACTAAAAACAAATGCTTATTTTAAAACCCTAGAAGTGGACGACTCCGTCTCAAAAAAAAAAAAAAAATATGAAGACATTGCTATCAGTCATCAAAGGAACCATGAACCCTGAGAGATGGGAAATAGACTAGGTGAGCCAAATGATTGCCTTAGATTACTGCTGAAAAGTTCTCAGGCTTTTGTGGCAAGGTTGGGGACCCAGGCTGAGTTTGGCAGACTCCCGAGTGAGATGATGGAGCTAAGAGAGTCCAAAAAGATCAAGGTGACTTATATTGTGCTGAGTGAGGAGCGTCTGAGAAAAAGAGAGCTGTATGAAGAGAGAACTCCAGAGATCTTCAAGTATTCAACTGGAACTAATCAGGGCATGGTGTGGAAGGAAAATACCTTGAGGTTGTAGAAAAAATCACCTGAAGGATTAGAGGTACCAGTATTCACACAGGGCCAGGAAAAGTGTCCGTTCCCACTGAAGACTGAAAATCTCATTTATTCACGTGGCACTGGTAGGAGTACACAGAAAAGGTGTCGTTCCCTGATAGTGGGAATAACGTAGCCCTAGATTAAGCACTGCTCCCAGTCCTGCGCTAATAAATGTAAAAGCCTGAGCTGAGAGAATCAAATTGTTTCCAAATAACATATATCCTAGATCAAAGCTCAACAATGCTGAAAAACATCTAGTACCCAACAGGTGAAATTAATAATGTTTCACATCCAATAAAGAATTACCAACCTCCAAAGAGGCCGCAAATGTGCTGCAAAATGAAAAATAATTAAGAAACTGAAAGTGGGCATGGTGGCTCATACCTGTAATCCCAGCACTTTGGGAGGCCCGAGGCGAGGTGGATCACTTCGA